TCTATCTATCTATCTATCTATCTATCTATCTATCTATCTATCTATCTATCTATCTATCTATCTATCTATCTATCTATCTATCTATCTATCTATGCACACACATACAACGTGCTTTACATTGAAAAACAATTTAAACATCAAAGACAACATGAAACACTTCCCCTTAAGTTCACAGGGGTCAGTGGTGCTTATAAGCATTTACTGTGTTAGGGATAGGGTAGACACTGGACAGGTTGAAAGTCAATCATAGACCTACATAGAAACAAACTAAATAAATGTCAAAAAGTGATTGCATAAACGTTCCCAATTTTTCAAGTGAATGTCCTAATGTCCTCAAAAATGTTTATTGAAAAGTACAAATCAGGAGGTGGATCAAAAAGGATTTCAGTCCCTAAATATCCCCAGGATTTCTGTTTAACCCATAATAAAGTAAGAAGTATGGATTTGTAAATCTAGAAGCAGACATCCTCTCAAACTGAGTGACTGTCCAAGAAGGATAATAGTGAGAGAGACCACCAAAACACATGTGACCATTCCAAAGAAGTAAACAAGTTTAATATAAGTTATATTCAACTGTGTCTTCCGCTATGTCATAAATTATGGGTTAGTAAAGTCCCTGGGCAGCAGTTCTTGAAGCCCCACCTCACCTACTAAAGCTTGTTGTCACAGGTGTCCTGGTGGTCTCTGTCCCTTTTCCCCATTCATGGTAATCTTTTCTCTGAGTTATATTAGGACAGCCACTTTAAATTGGGTCAGTATTTGGGCAGTTTTTTTATTTTACATTGCATGTTTTTATCAAATTGTTATTACTCTGTAGAAAGTTGATTTCATATTGAATGGTTTTGTTTGTGAACAATGCCACTTTATACTGACCATAATTAAGTTATGGCAATAATAAAACCATCAAATATCCAAGGGGTTGAAAGCTTTTCATAGACAACCCACATGCAGGAGTAAAACTGTAATTCACAATCTGTAAAATATAGTCTTTTAGCTTTGACATGGATGGAGCATTTTTAGGTATACATGTAGTTCTTCTGTTTTTAACTCTTCCTTTTTTAATGAAATCTTTTCCATAATTTCATAAATGTGTGTTTGCTTCATTAAATTTTAAATTGTATGCATTTTTTCAGATGACCATAAGACCATTGGCGTGGACTGTGAGCTGCTTGCAGCACAAATTGAAGAACATATCCTTTTCAATAAGCAGGGTTGCAAACCTCGGGTAGGGTCAGGCTTTTTTCCCCAAAAAGATCATGTAGAGAACTAGGCTGTTCTTTAAAGCCAGACCAACAGGTTAAACTCAACTCTGTCAAATAAACTTTACAGTTAGCTTTAAATACTGTATTAGCTGCTAAAAGTAGATCCAGAATATCTGGAATATAATCTAGGTCAGTATTCCTCTTCTGTGTTTCTCAGAAGTATGGAGTGCTCCAGGTGTCGATGTTATTCTTTTTGCCTTGTATTTGCTGCCTCTGGGTTTCATTTTTAAAAAGCACAGTTTCTTTTCATAGTTTTGCAGACAATATTCAAATCTACGTATTTACCTGTAACTACAAATGACTGCCAGTCTGCTGTAAATATGTTACAGGATTGTCTTAAGGGTGTACAGACATGGTTGAGGGCAAATTTTCTGAACCTAAATAAGGAAAAAACTGAGATTCTAGTGTTCGGTCAATGCAGTTCCCTGCTTGGGCATGACAGTGTGGTTGGTCCCCTGTCATCATCCTCCTGTCGTCTGTTTGTAAAAAATCTTTGTGATGATTTATCCATCCATCCATCCATCCATCCATTTTCTTCCGCCTATCCGGGGTCGGGTCGCGGGGGCAGCAGCTTCAGAAGGGAGGCCCAGACCTCCCTCTCCCCAGCCACTTCTTCCAGCTCCTCCGGGGGAACTCCAAGGCGTTCCCAGGCCAGCCGAGAGACATAGTCCCTCCAGCGTGTCCTGGGTCTTCCTCGGGGCCTCCTCCCGGTGGGACGTGCCCGGAATACCTCACCAGGGAGGCGTCCAGGAGGCATCCTTACCAGATGCCCGAGCCACCTCAACTGGCTCCTCTCGACGTGGAGGAGCAGCGGCTCTACTCTGAGTCCCTCCCGGATGACCGAGCTTCTCACCCTATCTCTAAGGGAGAGCCCAGCCACCCTGCGGAGGAAACCCATTTCGGCCGCTTGTATCCGGGACCTCGTTCTTTCGGTCATGAYCCAAAGCTCATGACCATAGATGAGGGTAGGAACGTAGATCGACTGGTAAATCGAGAGCTTCGCTTTCTGACTCAGCTCTCTCTTCACCACGACGGACCGGTACAGCGCCCGCTTTACAGCAGACGCTGCGCCAATCCGCCTGTCGATCTCCCGCTCCGTTCTTCCCCCATTCGTGAACAAGATCCCCAGATACTTAAACTCCTCCACTTGAGACAGGGCGACCCCCCTGACCCGGAGAAGGCACTCTGCCCTTTTCCGGCTCAAGACCATGGCCTCGGATTTGGAGGCACTGAGCTTCATCCCGGMCGCTTCGCACTCGGCCGCGAACCGCTCCAGCGAGAGCTGCARATCTGATGATTTATCCTTTGTTTAAATTTGAAAATCATATTAGCACTGTTATAAAAGCCAGTTTCTTCCAGCTGAGGACACTTGCTAAGATAAAATCTTATCTTCCTTTGCCTGATTTTCAGATTCAGAAAACTTTATTCAGCCCCGAGGGGCAATTAAAAGCAACACAGAGCAACTAATGACATAAAAATATAATAGAAGAATAAATGTAAAATACAAATGTGCAGTGTGAAGGTAATAAAAGTCTGCATAATCTGTCTAATATAATATAATATTAAACTGTGGGGCTATGAGTTGAGGAGCTGGATGGCCCTGGGTACAAAGGTTGCCCTTCTGCTCTGAGTCTTGCATGCTGGACAGCGAAGCCGGCGACCCGAGGGCAGCCATTCAAACGCCAAGTAGAGAGCATAAGTGGGGTCCTGGATTATCCGATATGCCAACCTGCRTGTTAGGTGATCATACACTGAGGACAGATTCCTAAGTGACAGTCCAGTGATTTTGTTTTTTTGCCGATCATGATGTTCCTCTGCAGACAGTTCCTGTTCTGGAGGCTGGTTAAATGGAACCAGCAGGTGATGGATAAGATGGTGATACTCTTAAGGAACGAGTAGTAAAATGTCTGTATGATGCTTTTACTCACACCAAAAGAGTTTAGCTTCCTAGGGAGATACTTTCTCTGGTGACAGTTCCTGAGAAGCTCCTCCGTATTGGCTGAGAACTTCAGGTGGCTGTCAAAGATGGTACCCAGATACTGTACTGGTACTCCTCCGCCAGTTCAACAGGCATGCCGCTGATTGAGGTGGTGACCAGTGGAGTCAGCGTCAGCTGCTCAGTGGAGAAGGCAATCATCAGCTCCTTAGTTTTGTTGACATTCAGCTCGAGGCCCGAGTTATCACACCAGTCCACAAAGTCCTGGAGGGCTGACCCGTGGGACTGTGATGCGCCCGACAACATGGAGAGAAGAACTGTGTCGTCGGCATACTTGACCAGGAAGGAATTGGGTTGTAGGGATCTGCAATCATCGGTGTACAGGATGAAGTGCAGCAAAGAGAGGACACAGTCCTGAGGGGAGCCGGTAGATGTAAATAGTAGGTCAGAATAGACATTATTAACCAGCACCCTCTGTGATCTGTGGGTGAGAAAGTCCAGTAACCCCAGAATGAGCTGATCCTCCAGGTGAAAGTGAGAGGAGAGTTTGTGGGCCAGAATGTGAGGCTGGAGAGTGTTAAAAGTCGAAAAGTTTGAGAGGGCTATTCACATACTGTATTTATCACATTGCATTTAGATTATCACATTGCGTTTAGATTAGTATAATTCTTTGTATATAGGGTTGGACCAGAGCTCTCTGCACCGATTGCAGAGGATACAAAATGTTAACCATTTGTTGATGAAAACAAGGAGGCATGAATCCTTTACTCCCATTTTGTGCACCGTTAACTGGCCCCTGTTGTCTTTCATTTGAAATTTAAGGTTATATTGACAGTTTTTTAAGTGTCTAACTGTATGGGCCCATCTTACTTAACTGAGCTCTTGCAGCCCTACAGTTCAACAGTTTTTGTTGGCTGTCCCTAAAGCCAGGTTAAAGTCTAGAGGTGACAGAGCATTCACTGTGGCAGCACCCAAACTGTAGAACTGTCTCTCTTTGTGAAGCTCCCTCAGTCAGTGGGTCAGTTTAAGTCCAGACTGAAAATGCATCTATTTTCCCTGACCTTCAACACTAGTTCTTTTTTAAAGGAAAATTAATACTTAATTTTATTAGGGTTTTTGGGAAATTGCTGCAGCTGAAATTAATTACATCTTGGTTTTATTCGTATTATTATTTTTGGGTATTTTACTGCCAATTGTATTATTGTTTTTATCATTTTTACTAAATTTTAGTTTCATTTTTAAGTTTTTGTTTGTTTTAACCTTATCTACATGTGATTTGATTGTTGTGAAGTACTTTGGTTAACTGAAGTTGTTTTAAATTTGCTATATAAATAAACTTTGACTTGATGCAGATGTGAAGTACAGCTGCTGATTGTTAGTGCAAATGATATTTTAAATTGCTACTTTCTCATGTGTGGCCTGTTTTCCACATTACCACAACAGAGGGCTTTAAACATTAATAAACTTCCCATATAAAACTGTTTAGTGAGAAATCAGAAAAGTGCAGGTTTATATTTTGTTATATAGGATTTGTTGAATTTATGGGTTTAAGCTTATAAATTGTTGATGTTTATGGAATTAGGGACACGTAAACAATACCACTAAGAGGTTTTAAAGATTGGGGCGGCTGTGGTGTAGTGGTAGAGCAGCCGGCTTTGGGACCCGCAAGTCACAGATTCGACTCCCCGCCATGCCTACATGCCGTTGTGTCCTTGGGCAAGACACTTCACCCACCTTGCCTACTGATGGTGGTCAGAGGTGCGGTGGCGCAGCATGGCAGCCCCGCCTCTGTCAGTCTGCCCCAGGGCAGCTGTGGCTACAATGTAGCTTACTGCCATCAGTGTGTGAATGTGAGTGTGAATGAATGATGCATGAAAAGTTGTAAAGCGTCTTTGAGGGTCTCGAAAAGCGCTATATAAAACTAATGCATTATTATTATTATTATTCCGCCCGAGAGGACAGTTCTGTCCAGKTTTATGTGTTTTATAACTTGACTGTTGCTGCTCACAGATTTTCCAGGAGTTTAAATCCACAGATATAAAATATAAAACCCGCCTTCGAAGTAGAGTCTCCAACCTGAAGGACCAGAAGAATCCAGATCTGCGCCGTAATGTCCTGTGTGGAAACATCAGTCCTCAGCGCATCTCCTCCATGACTGCTGAGGTGAGTGTTTTTCTTTTAAATCCTTTGTCACATTGCTGTGAAAAGAAGTTGATAACCATCCACCCTTTTCCAACTGAGGACCATGRAATGAGGTGTGAGCTGAAGATCTGTCTGACAGGTTCTTCTGCCAGGCATTCCCATCAAACCCTCACTACACACTTGGGTCTACCGGGTCTGTCCGGCATCTTCCACCGCATCTGATCCAACTCACTACCAGGTGGTAATCAGTTGACAGCTCAGCTCCTCTCTTCACCCTCTCTTCACCCAAGTGTCCAAAACGCGGCCGCAGATCAGATGACATGACTACAAAGTCAATCATCGATCTGTGACCTCGTGTGTCCTGGTGCCACRTGCACTTATGGACACCCTAATGTTCGAACATGGTGTTTGTGATGGACAAACTGTGACTAGCACAGAAGTCCAAGAACAGAACCCCACTCGGGTTCAGATCGGTGAGGCCATTCCTCCCGATCATGCTTCTCCAGGTCACACTGTCATTACCCACGTGGGCATTGAAGTCCCTCAGCAGACTAAAGGAATCCCCAGCTGGAGCACCTTCCAGCAACCCTGCTAAGGACTCCAAGAAAGATGGGTACTCTGAACAATCATTTGGTGCATAAGCACAAATGACTGTCGGAGCCTGTTCCCCCACCTGAAGGCGCAGAGAAACCCTCTTATCTACTGGGGTAAACTCCAACACACAGGCACCAAGTTGGGGGGCCAAAAGTAGACCCGCACCAGCTCGGCGCCTCTCACCATCGGCAAATCCAGAGTAGAATAAAGTCCAGTCCYTCTTGAGGAGGTCGGTTCCGTAGCCCATGCTGTGTGTTGAGGTGAGCCCAACTATATGTAGCCGGTACCTCGCAACCTCATGCACAAGCTCAGGCTCCTTCCCTACCAGAGAGGGGATGTTCCATGTCCCAAGAGCCAGTTTGGACAGAGCGCCATGGTACCCGCCTTTGGATACCGCCCATGGCATCATGCATCCAACTCATACGGCACCTCCTGCAGGTGGTGGGYCCACAGGAAGGCAAACCCATGTAGCACATTTGTGCTGAGCCTGACCGGGTCCCATGGGTAGAGACCCGGCCACCAGGCGCTCGTCTACGAGTCTTTGTCTGGCCTGTCACCTAGGACTAATCTGCCGTGGGAAATGTTACCATAGCCTTTTGAAATTGCCCCTGACAGCATAGCTCTTACGATCTTTCATGAGCACAAACTCCACCACGATAAGGTGATGATCCAATAGAGGACAGGACCATAAAAGGTTTTTTTCCTCTCTCTCTGGTTATGACAGGCTGGCTTGAGATTTCTTTTGGTGTACTTCAGGGGTTCTTAACTTTTTGACCTCGAGGCCCTATTTTTTGATCATAAATTGTCACGAGGTCCAGTCAGACATTACCAATGTATGGCTCAAAATGATGATTATTCTAAATCTTGGTTTAATTTGTATTTGCATTATAACTAAATTAAATAAACTTAGAGTTTAAAAGTAAAACTCCTGTCAAATAATCACAAGACATGATTATAACAAACATTTTATATTGTAACCTGCCCATAACAATTATTTGAACAAATACAACAGTCAGTCAATAGACCACTCAGGTTTATCAGCACAAATAAAATTCCCTTCTCACCGTCCGCGGGTGGTCTCTTTCATCCTCTGAGCTCGGGTCCTCTACCAGAGGCCTGGGAGCTTGAGGGTTCTGCGCAGTATCTTAGCTGTGCCTAGAACTGCACATTTCTGGACTGAGATGTCTGATGTTGGGATCTGTTTTAGCCACTGCTCCAGTTTGGGGGTGACTGCCCCGAGG